TGGCATTTTGATTGGTTGTGTTTGAAAAAGGAAATAAAGATACTTCCTGTTAGATTTTTGTGTATAGGGAATTGTGTGCTGTGTTTTGCAAAAAGTGTTTTATGAAATTGAAAACGGAGTCAAAGGCCGAGAATTAGTGTGTGGTTTCGCAAATTTGGTGTGTGGTTCTGGTGTTTGAGTGTCAGGTTTCAGAAATTGTGTGACAAGTAAAGATTTTGTGTGTAAGCAGTTGAATAAAACTGTTATTCATATTAGAGTAAGCGGAAGGATGTTTTAAATGTGCATAAACTACCTAATGCAATTAGTAGGATTTCCTACGTCATTATAATAATGCATACAAGAAACAGTATACTGCATAGTTTAGATCAAAACTGTAAAACATATTCAGTGTACATTTAGTACCAACAGGTGGTGCTCATCAAAGCAGTTATCACCAAACTGGTGATAATCTTGGACAGTTTTTTTTTTGTTGCAAAAAGACAACCTTTTGTGCATAGCCCATGATGGTACTATAGAAGACACTAAAGCTGATGTTACAGTACATAATGAAAGGTTTCTACAGAGTCTTACCAGATTGAATCACGGTTCAAGTTATCGATCAGATCGTAGTTCTCATCAAGATAAATGTCTACTGTCATAGACACATCAGTGTCATGAGCAGAACAGAAGTTTGTGACTGGACGAGCAGGAATGCCAAAGCACCTCAACACTATGAGAACGAGAAGAATATAAGTGCAATATTTCTAAAAAGACTTTCTCAAAACTTTTTCTCCTTGTCCAGTCTGCAGGAAGTCTTACGTGTGTTGGTGACTCCAGCAAAGACCGAGCTCTGTCCATATTTGACCGGTATTCCTCCACATTTGTGGTACTGTTTCAGGATGGCACTGCTGCTGCACCAGGATGTCGGAGCGGTTCCATCTCCATAGCAGTTTGACCAGTTACCCACCAGCACACCACAGTCATCATTGGCATTAATCTGTGAAAGTGAGACAGTCAAAAATGATTATCTGTTCTCTTGCCAAACATCGTCTTCGTGGATGTTTATTAGGTTTTATGACATGCCAATGAAAGAAAAGTCGAGACTCACCATGGCAGATATCACTCTCACCACATTAACAGGATCCCCCCATCCAGTGCAAGGGCCACCACTCTTCTCCAACACATAGAAACATGCAGCCAAGACTCCTTCATCAAACTAAGAATCAGAGAAATTATATTCTAAGATGCTTGCTATGCAGTGTGGAAGTTCTGTGGTTTATAATAAACAAAAAAGATTGCGCTATGCTTGTATTCCAGCACTTCAGATCAAATATATTCCACTGCAATTCCTTTTTTTCTTATTTTGACATGCATTAATAAAAAAGTTTGGATCTTACTTGACCGAAGTTCCAGCTTCTGGAAGCGATCTGATGTTTAGTTCCATAGTAGATTTTTCCCACGTCATTCATCACATACTCAGCTCTCTGGGCCTCGTCATCCAGATACACAGAGTCATCTAGTAAAGACAGAGTGTTTCAATTTTACAATCATTTACTGATTATAAAAAAATTTTCCTTCTAATTTTTGTTTCCTTTTGATCCGAGCAGTAGAATCCAGTGCCATTCTTCACAAAGAAATTTGAGAGACATGCTTTTTTTTTAGACAAAAAAACATTGTTTTTTTATGTAATTCCAGCATTGCTTCTGTGAACTTAAAATCTCTGTACCATTCTATGACGCAGATTTGATCTTGTTTCTGTGTGCAAGGTTTCCTACATGTGGGACTGATTTAAATCTTTAGCATTTTTCAAAACATGCTTCTGCATGGAATTTCAGAAGTTAAGAAGGAACATTGGGATGTGGTTCAAAAGTCTAAGTCTAATATATATTGTATTCTCTCCCTCTTCATACGTACCTTTACACCAGGGGTTGAACAGCATGTAAATGTCATTGCAAGGGTTGCATGATGAAGTGGCCCTGCCCTTCGGGCCACAAGTCACAATGGTGAGGCTGTATCGTCCAATACAAGCAGTCGGAAGGGAGTACACACACAGTTTGATTCGGTTTTGTACCCGTTCGACAATCTTGGCCTCCCAACGGCATTTCTTGAATTCATCCACTAATGGAACAATCACCAGAGTGCCATTGCAAATTGATGGAACATTACCTGTGAAATAAAAACAGCAAGAAACGACCTGGGTTAATACTAAAACCAAACTATTAAAAACATTCTTGTTACTTAAAATAAAATATACATGAACTGAGATCAAATATAAGGAACTTATTTTATTTCAGTTGTCAAAGTTGCATTTCTAATTTTTTGTTTAGTCTAATCTGAAGTAAAATAACAAAAAAAACTAAACAAAACTGCAATTAATAACAACAATAATAGACATATTTAAAAAGTAATAACATTGATAAAAACACATCAGAATTACTAAAACCTAACCTACTTTACCTAAAATTAAAATTTAACCAGAAAATATAAAAATACGATACTAAAAAACACTGGAAATAACAGTGAGGGTCTTAGAATCAAATCGGCACAAGCTGGCAACTGATCAAGATGACTTAACTGACCAAGTTTCAGCTCCAGGTGAAGTTGATCACATTTCGGATTGAATGGCCGGGAAAGCTCAATCCACATCTGGAAACACTGTCCTCGACGGACAATGAGGTTATCACTGCGGAAACAACTGGTGTGATGCTCCTGACGATTCTGACTCTTCCAGAATTTCATCTGGTCAACACAACGAACCTGCAGAACCAAATCTGAGAAAAAACAAGCAGAGGAACTCAATTAGGAGCTTTAATGGACACATTTCACAAAATGCAGCTCAGGCCATAGATCTACAACTCTTACCTTCGCAGGTGCGCACAACCTGGCAGTCATCCGCACAGTCCTTGAGGACAACTTCCTTGCAGTCATAATCACAGCGCGGCTTCACATAGTCGCAAGGGATGGCGCAAGGGTTGTTGCATGGGTTGACACAAGGAACCACGCAAGGATTGAATACAGGTTTCACGCAAGGACTGATGACAGGTTTTACACAAGGATTGATGGCAGGTTTCATGCAGGGATTCACACAAGGATTGACAAAAGGTTTCACGCAGGGGTTACTGTAAACCGGCACACAGCCAGACCCGCTCCAGAACCTGTCCGACTCTAGTTTAATGCCTGGGAAACGGCCGATGTTGCAGAAGTTGTTGCTCAGGCCATACTTTACGATAGACATGCTGTGGGGTGCAAAAGAGAAAGAATGAGAGTGATATTAGTTGTCATTTAAGTGGTTAAACATTCAAGTCTTTTAAAGCCTTTTCCCTCTAAATCAGAGTATATTAACTGCAGTTCAGTTTCTCTTTAAATAACTGTGAAAGCATATTTGACCGTTTTTAGTTGATTACTTACATGTTTGTGGTTCTTGCTCCGGTGTGATGTTGAATCTAAAGAGGTTTTTTATCCCTGTTTGGTAACAGAGTAACAACTGAGTTAAACTCAAATTACTAAAACAAAGCAAGTCTGGCTGGAACCACGGCTTCTTGCGCTGTGACACTTCTCTAGGTTTTAGTCTGGTATATATATTCACTTCATTACCAGCCCATCCACATGAGCAATTCATGTGCCTATACTATTTCACTGCCTAATGAAAGGATTTTAGATGAATCACACAGGTTAATTTACAAACAAGCTGTAATGGTGCAAATTTACGGCTTAGTGTAATTGTTCTGATAGATAATTGATACAAGAATAATCATAGGCAGAACTGTAATTGAGCAATTCCAACATAAAGGAGCATATAAGCGTGTTTACCTATGGAATATACTGTATGTTTAATGGTAACTATACAGTAGCAGTTCTGACACACCTACTCATTCTACATTTTAGAATAATAGTCATTATGTAAAACAATGAAAACAGCTTTTTCAAATTCGCCACCCATTCGTCTGTTCGAATATGCTTGGGACTTCATACTGAATGAAGTTAATAACACATATTACATTTTAGTATTGTTGTCTTCTCTTCCAGTACAAATATCGAAATATCCTTAAACGGGAAAATTTGAAAATTAATTTTTTCTTATTGTAATATAAGTCTAACAAAATTAGTCAAGTTTATGTTATTTAAAGCTATACACACACACACACACACACACATATATGTACATATACTGTATCAGCATAATTTATATTTGTATATTTATATAACTGCATGCATTTAAGTAAAAAGGCTTTTTGTATGTTAATCTTTTTATTGACTACATGTAAGTTTGAGAGAGATCATGTTTAAATTTTATTTAACAGTAAGTAAATAAAACAGATTTTTACCTTATTTACCCTTTTAATTTGTGGTGTAGAAAAACGCTTCACTCAGAAATTGCTAATAAGTTTCACAATTAATTACAAGGAAAGGGCATGTAACAAATGGCAAGTAACACATTGAATTAAACATTAAAATATTATTTTCTTGTAAAGCATTCTCTAATAATATTTAAAAAAAATTATAATTTTAATTAAATACATTTGTAAATGTTTAGTACTCTGCAGTGTGGCATGCTAAACATCTAAAACTAGATACATATTATATCAAACTTAATGTTGGCAAAATCATTTATTTCCGTGTTGGTCAGCTAACTGTAATTTACACACCCAAACTCAGTCTTTTTGGAATTTGTTAGAAAGACAGACACACCACAGGTGTGTAAACGGTTTAATCCTAAATTTCATAACTGCCACATAACCACCATCATCAAAACTGTCCCAAAAAATGACATCACAAATAAATCACAAAGCATAAAAGGAAGGAATTATAATGTTAGATTAAGTGCAATTTACATCATAAACATCAAACAATAATCAGCAGGACAAACAAAAAGAAAAACTGTTATGTAATGTAATGTTAGATTTGGCGATAATGCTATGCCATCAGTCAAATTATGTGTCAAGCCTCTATTTCGTGATTGCATAATTTGCCTAATTTCTGATCAGAGGTTGGACACATGCATTTGAGTAAATTAACCATTAATGGAGGTAACCGTTTGTATGAAAGATAAATCTAACCTTCCTTGATTTTTCGATCTGGACTCAATTCATGGCTATTAAGCACAATTATCCTGCAGGTTTTAATTTCCATTTGCCTCTGCAGCAACATAGTCATTTAGCAGATGCTTTTATCCAAAGCCACTTACAAATGAGGACAATGGAAGCAATCAAAATCAACAAAAGAGCAATAATATGCAAGTGTTATTAAAAGTCTCAGTTAGCTTAACGCAGTACATGAAGCAAGGTTTTTTTTATTTTTTATTATATAATAAATAAAAAGAAAACAGATAGAATAGAAAAAGAATAGAGCAAGCCCGTTTTTTTTTTTAAGAAAACAAGCAGTTAGTAAATGAATAGATTGGAAGTCTAAAAGGGGCAATTTTTTTTTTTTAAGAATAGAATTAGAATAGAGAGTGCAAGAGTCAGAGTCTCAGAGCAAACTTACTGGACATGCAAGCTCATTTGTGTCTCCTCCTTTGGGTGGTTCTCGCTTTTTGAAGCTTAGGCAGGATATAGGAAAATTATGTTGTTACAGTTTGGACGGGAATGAGAATTACAGATTAAATGACTTTCTCAGTAAATGATTCAGTTTGGATACTAATGGCACTAATTAGGTCAGTAAAGTGTCTCATATATACCAACAGTACATATCAGATAGGGACACACCAAAATTCTTGATTATTCTCACAAAATAAAAAAAGTATATATATATATAGTATATAAGTCTCTTATGCTCGTCAGCATTTATGCTGCATTTATTTGATCAAAAATACAGAAAAAAACAGTAATCTTGCCGTTTTTATTTTAATATCCTTTAAAATTTAATTTATTTCTGTGATGCAAAGCTGAATTTCAATCAGCCAATACTCCAGTCTTCAGTGTCACATGATTCTTAAGAAATCATTATAATATGCTGATTTATTATCAGAATTATCAAAGTTGGCAACAGTTGTGCTGCCAAATATTTTTTTAGAACCTGTGATACTTTTTTCAGGATTCTTTGATGAATAAAATGTTAAAAAGAAGAGCATTTATTTAAAATAGAAATCTTTTCTAACAATATACATCCTTGCTATCACTTCTTAACAATTTAACACATCCTTGCTGAATAAAAGTTTTAATTTCTTTAAAAAAAAGAAAGAATAAAAATGTATTGACCCCAATTTTTGAACGGTAGTGTATATTGTTAGAAAAGATTTCTATTTTAAATAAATGCTCTTCTTTTTAACATTTTATTCATCAAAGAATCCTGAAAAAAGTATCACAAGTTCCCAGAAAATATTTGGCAGCACAACAGTTTCAACACTGATAATAAATCAGCATATTAGAATGATTTCTGAAGGATCATGTGACACTTTATACTGGAGTAATGATGCTGAAAATTCAGCTTTGATCACAGGAATAAATTAGATTTGAATGTATATTAAAATAGAAAAACGTTATTTTACATTATAACAATATTTCACAATATTACATTTTTTCCTGTATTTTTGATCAAATAAATGCAGC